GTTTTGCATGCTTTGCAAACTAGTTATGGTGCATCTTTAAAAGATGTAAGGAAATTCATTGTCGATTTGAAATAATCGTAAGACCTACAGGAAGGTAATTTCAAAATATATTGTACTAAATATAAAAGAAAAATTATAGGCCTATTTTATGTACCCTATTTTCTCATAAAAAATATATTTGATCAAAGAATTTCCAGTGCTCTTAAGAAAAATTGATCGAATGTTTTTTGAAAAAATGAGAGAGTCACCGTAAAAAACTGAAGAAAAAAAATGATTGAAAAAAAAAAAAAAAAAAAAAAACTGATTGAAACATGATCATCACTAAATCATTTTTCCGAATANAAAAAATTCTAATAGTGCTTTACGAAGATAACTTTTAAAATAACTGTATAGAAAATAGAAAGGATGAAAAATAATGTTTTTTTTCTCGCTTATTAAAGAAGGACCACCATCTTCTATCCCAAAATATGTAGAAGTTAATGGATCCAAAGTTATTAATAAACTCAGCTAGAAGTGACTGTGAAGGTTTTATTTTTTTATTTTTTTTGTTTTAAAATTAAGTCCATTAGCGAGCAAAAAGATAATAGGATTTTAATACCGAAAGAGAGGGATCATTAAATCTGTATCTCATAAAAATTGCTAACGCTTGAACTTTTTTCATTCCTTCTTTTAAAATTTTTGTTTTAACTCCGGATATTCATGGGAATTTTTTTTCTTCCAAAGACACTACGTTCAAACCCATCAAAAATCACTTACTAAATGTGAGTTATGAATGATACAAGGTTGATTGAGCTTACAAAAGCACAATTGCTTTCTGAATTAAAGATTTTTATCGAACGTAGTCTTAATAAATGAATGACATTCAAGACAAAGGAAGATAAAATCATTACTAAAATTCAAATAGTGAAGAATAATGTAATAAAATAGAGTTTAATGGTTTCGCTTATCGATCTAAAAATTTGCATGAAATCCCGTTAATTCTTTTCGCCTGAGAAAAAGCCCTATAAAAATTGGCCATTTTAACATTATTGTACAAACAAGGTGTTCGGTAACCACCACTCTCATTATATAGTTTTCGAATCATTGTCAAAAATGAAGCAATAAAGACCTTCAGGTTTTCAAATTAATATTTCTAATGCCATGGAAACTGATTATTTACATTAGGTTTATTTAGTAAACGAAATTATTAAACATTATATTAAGTAGGCGAAAGCATCACTGGCAGTGATCAGTGAGCGGATGGATGACCACTTTGATCAAACTGCGAAGGAACAGAGGGTGCGCAGTATTGGTCCTCGTTAAATTGATCTACTTTTAAGAGCTTGACACTTCATGCGCTGGTCATCGGGCTATCGACAGGTTCATAGGATCATCCCTCAGCTGAGGATTAAAATAGTGATGGCAATGGTCTTCGGATTATCCTCAGGGGTGCTTCCAAGACAGTGGCCAAAGGCCCACTGTGCAGCTCTAATGCGAAGCTAATAAAGTACTACTACGTGCTAAATTATGACTTAGTACTCAACAACGAATGATCGTCATAGAAGTATTAAGTTACTCGCTCTATTATCAAACATTTGAAGCAATTTTATTTATCAGATACAAAACATACTGAAGAGTCGAGGAAGGAGTCTCTGACTGTGTCAGAGATAAAAAATTAGGACAATTTAGAAAATTGTTTTATTTCTGGTAAATTTTATAAGTAATCAATAAAATTTCAAATACCAAATTTAATTTTTTTATTTATTTCCAATGAGCTGCACAATCAGTCTTGCAGATGAGCAGACCTAGTGCGTTCTCCAGAGGAGGTATCCACTCTTTCAGGACCACCACAATGGGTGAGATACCGTTGGTCATGTTAATTTGGACGTCTAGTTTCTGCCACACTAGATGGCAGCACCGAGACTCTATTTGGATGCTAAAGTGCACTAGGAATTTAATTTTGCCGGAAATGCCAAGAGCTAATAAGTCACTCCAGGGATCTTTTACATGCCGCATAATCAAACGACATGGATGCTGAGGATTTTCTGCATCCCGAAAACCCGGTGTCAGGGCCGGGGATCGAACCCGCAGACTAAATTTAAAACTTAAATTTAAAAGTGTAATTGAATAAATTATTCAAGAATAAAAGTTTCGTATTAAACATGCAATAATGTTTTCACTTACATTAGTAATTTTTTGTAGACATGTTGCTTGTATACTGCCACCTACTATGGACTTTCCAAACCTCAAAGCCCAGTTGTTCACTCTGAAAAATAAATAAAAGCATTCATTATTATTTTTTTTAAATACACACTTATTTATTTATTTATTTATAATTTTTGGAGCTTTATTATTATTGTTAGGAACACAAACTTCAGTTATCGAAAGTCATATTAACATCTGTCCATATTAACCTTAATCCTAAGTCCTATATTAAGTCCATATTATTCAGTCCATATTAACATCTATGAAGAATGTTTTATTCCCGTTTTTCAAAAAAATGACGACTGGATTACCATCTGTGGAATTTCGAAGATTATTTAAAGTTTTGACAAGTCAACAAAATGGAAAAGCGGTCCTCCCCGAAAATTATTACGCATCGAAAATGGGCCAAGCTGTGGAAAAACAGTTCCAGTCGACGCTTAAAATTCGTTTTTACTTAGAATCAGCTTT